GCTTTCTCTTTGTGCATTTAAGTTTTCATTCTGTTAATAAATGTTCCAAATATAATTTATCCTTTATTAGCATCATTGCTGTTGGTAAATAACCCTTGAGTTGAATCTTCAAAGAGTCGAAATCTTTCCTTTTCTTTCCACTTTGAGCTTTTTTGCACCTTGTTGACAAAATACCTATCCGAATGTAAGTATATTCTGCATGAATTAAACAAACGAAGGAAAGCAGAAACCTTCTCTAGGAATGCTTTATTATCTAGAGTATAAAATAAAAATATTTGAAGACCCTGTGAATTAAGAAAAAAAAGCAAAAGATTAGTATATAAAAAAAGGAAATATAAATGCCATAAAAAAGTATTTGTACTGAAAAGGAGCAAACTGTGCATAATGACAAATATTTGCAAGGAAATAAGTAAATTTCAGAGTTACCCAGAGATCAACACATCCCTGTAGGGATATCACAGGAATTATCTTTGGGTCCCTGAAGTCCTGAAGCCTAAATTTATGTGCAAACTTCTGGACAGAGTATTTTGTGGGAGAAGCATTAGTTACAATGGGGATTAAGTGGGCGATAGCCTCCCATAATATTAATCATTCTTACCTTAACCCATGTGCAACCTCCAACCCATTGTAATATTGTTCATGGTATCTATCTGGATAATAGAATAATATGGTGATTTCTGCTCTATAGTATTCTACTCCCCTACATAACTAGCACATATTGTAACTTCCTTGTGATTACATTTTTATATATAAATAAACACTTCTGACTACCTATCTTAGGCAATTGCTGCAGGAAAAGTTAGTTCTACGCCTCAAAAAAAAAAGCTTGTAGAAGGTGGAATTAAGGACCCTCTTCCCAATCAATAACATTCTGCACCTGCCAGTACCTTACAGTTATTAAAATCAGCCACATGAATAACACAAAGAAGATGTGTCAACTGTAGATATTCTAAACATCTTAACTGTCAAAAAAGGAATAAAACAACAGTTTAGATGTCCCCTAAACTTTGTCAGCTGACATTAACTGCAACCGTTTTCATACACAGTCCCCTTGTTTCAGGGGTTCAAATGTAATTGGACAAATGAACACAATCATAAATAAAATGTTAATTGTCCATACTATATCAGTAATCCTTTGCAGGCAATAACTGCTTTAAATCTGGAATGCATGGACATCACCAAACTCTGGGTTTCCTCCTTTGTGATGCTTGGCTAGGCATTTCCTGCAGCTGTCTTCAGTTGTTGTTTGTTCATGGGTCTTTCTGCCTTAAATTTTGTAAGGTAAAAGATATATTGACACTCAATATATAAATGCCAAAAAATCCACACACCACTCTCTTAGTCCCAAACAGTGAGTGTATACAATACTTATAGATAAAAAGGTGTACGCTGATGGTATTCCATGTACTGGAACCCTAGAATAACACAAAGCAGTACATAGCGTAGAAGTTGAACTTCCTGTTTCTTTGTTGCTGGCCTCCCTAGGATTTTGTGAAGATTCCACATCTAGCCTGTATAGGCACCCTGGAGCACTTTACACAGAGCCTGGCATGGCTCTGGAATTCGTGAGTGGATTCATTTATTCTTTGCAACATTATGTACTGCTTTGTGTTATTCTAGGGTTCCAGTACATGGAATACCATCAGCGTACACCTTTTTATCTATAAGTATTGTATACACTCTCTGTTTGGGACTAAGAGAGTGGTGTGTGGATTTTTTGGCATTTATATATTGAGTGTCAATATATCTTTTACCTTACATTGTGTACCTAAGGTGTTGGGGAACACTTTTTATTCCACCACTACTTGTGTGTTCCTTTTATTGTGTAAGCGCCTTTCACTTTTCTATTTTTATTGCCTTAAATTTTGCCTTCAGCAAATGAAATACAAGCTGGATCAGGTGGAGATCATGTGATTGACTCGGCCATTGCAGAATATGCGACAGTTTTTCCTTTAAAAACGCGTGGGTTGCTTTAACAGCGTGTTTTGGGTCATTGACCATCTGTACAGTGAAGTGCTGTCCAATCAACTTTGTTGAATTTGTCTGAATCTGAGCAGACAATATATCCCTGTACACTTCAGAATTCACCCAGTTGCTTCTGTCTTCTGTCACATTATCAATAAACATTAGTGACCCATGCATGCCCATGCCATCACACTGCCTTCACTGTGTTTTAAAGATGATGTGGTATGCTCTGGATCATTAGTTGTTCCAAACCTTTGCCATACTCTTTTCTTTACATCATTCTGGTACAGGTTGGTCTTAGTTTCATCTGTGCAAAAAATGCTGTTCCAGAACTGAGCTAGCTTTTTTAGATTTTTTTTTTTGGCAAAGTCTAATTTGCCCTTTCTATTTTTGAGGCTTACACGTTGTGGTGAACCCTCTGTATTTGCTCTTGTGAAGTCTTCTTTTATGGTAGACTTGGATAACCTCCTTTAGAGTGTTTTTCATTTGGCTGAATGCTATGAAGGGGTTTTCTTTAGCATGGAAAGGATCCTAGGATAAGTCAATTGTCCAATTATATTTGGTCCCTTGAAAAAGATGGGGCTATATATTAAAGAGCTGTAATTCCCAAACTCTTCCTCCAGTTTGGATATGAATACCCTCATATTAAAGCTGAGAGGCTGCACTTTAAGCCAATTCATTATTTAACTGTAACTTAACTTTATTTTGGTAAACAGACAAAATAACAAAAATGTGGTTATTGTATATCCAAATGTAACTGCACATTTAAAAATATGGGTGCACTCTGTAAGATCTACAAATAACCCACAAAATAACGGGACCCACAAAAAAGAGGGGATCTCCAAACTTAGAGATGGTTTAGTAACTGGCTTTTCCTTTAAAATTGACAAATGTGGGGCTGCATTGACCCCCATTTACCAGACAGATTAACCCACAGTCTCACTATTTCTGTACCCTGTGTATGCTGACAGAGGGTACCAAAAAATAGATGTGGACCTAACAACTGGCTCCTAACCCTTTTTCCATCACTTGACTTGTGCAGTGAGAGTAATAATAGATTATAGTCTTTGGGGTCCCCTAGACTAATCAAAGACCACTAAATACTGTACTTACACTGATAGGGACAGAGGATCTTTAACCCTAATTTAAAAAAAACTCCATTTACTAGTTGTGGTCCCATGTAAAACATAATATCCTCTTGAAAGTCTTTTAATTTCTCTGATATGCACAAAACATCTACATAGAACGTGGATCATTTTGGTTGATAGTTCATTTTTCTCTTTGGCATATTGTACAGTACCTGAGTTGAGATGCAGGCACAGAAAATGAAACTGAATATGTCTCTTGCTGTGTCATCACTTGCCAGCATTAAATATCCAAAAACCCAGGTTACGCCAAGCAACACGCTCAAAGACAGTGTCTTTGAAATCTTTTTTATTAGCGAAACCTTTTTTTTAGTGCTAGAAAAAGCAAGAGAAACTGATTAGAATAGTTTTCATTATTACATTAAAATCATATACAAGGTTAATCTCAATGAAGTCAATTGGAAATCCTAGTGAAAATCTGAAACACTATTCTCTTTCTTGAGTTAAGTTGTATATTAGCTAAATAATCTAGGCGTAGTGAATAACCTATGTAGTCAGTAAATAATTTACAATAAAATCTGTTTGATCTTCTGAAATAATTTAAACAAACACTTTGGATTCCATAAGTACATCATCACACTGAAGAACATAAAAGTGTGCACAGGGTGAACAAGGTGTGCGCAGGTGTACCTTAATACAGAGGCAAATGGGCCCCTGTTTAGGTGTGTATGGGCACATTTTTACGAGTTTGGATTAGCTTTTAATGTTTTTGTCTGTTTTTGTTGTTTTTATATCATGGTTATCACTATAGACAAAATGTATATTTTGTACCTCATTTAGTAGTTGTTTTTTTTTTTTAAATAAAGTTTAGATTAAGAGTAATTTTCTGTGGTTGCACATTCAAATGTAATGTGTTGCGCACACCTATGATAAAGTTGTTGTGGTGCCTGGAGTTCCCTGGCACTGATTTACCTTCTATTGTTAAACCATTAAACCATTACCCATAAACATGGGTATGATGTATTTTTTTTATTGTCGAATTCTATTTCATTTTGTTAAAAAAAAAAAAGAATACAACGCTCTGCCTACTGAGCCACGTCTCACATTTTAGATTAATTTTCTGATTTTCTAGGTCTTTACTTAGTATGCTAGAGTAGTGGACATTTTCATACACTTTACCATTGCATATAATTTTTTTTTTTTATTGCATTAACAATTACTAGCTTGGAATTTTACCTAAAATGTTGGACTTTTAATGGTTTATTATAAAATAAAATGCTGTTGGAATTGGCTGAATAATAAAAATAGGCCCCTCGGGCCCAATGTTAAGGTCCTTTTCTGGTTAAATTTATGGGTTAGTCAAAATGCCATGGCACATCACTGTTAAACAAAATACAGTTTCTACGTCATTCTTATTGTGATCCTTCCACTAACAATGTTTATTGTCCACCATGAAAACAATTGCAGTCCTTAAATATATTTAGGTGTGTGGACATCCTTTTCAAAAAAGTTAATTGGGGCTTAGCTCTAGGACAAATGATTAATTTAATTAAACACAATATAAAGAACACAATGTATATTCTCACTTTGGTGTAAAAATATCTATAGTATAAGGATGTAAAATCTGTAAAACAGGGATTATAATAAGTATCTATCGCACTTTAAATAAGGGACCCTAAAATGCTGCTTAAATAATCAATTTGCTTGTAAATGTCATATTTCTGTTGTTCTGGGGCAAAATTAATATCCACTCAATTGTAATAAACTGAAAATCAAATTTGAAAACATTTGTGCTTTGTATATACTTCATTACACCATTATGTCATATTACCTGTGTATGGTTTAAGTTAATTGGTGATTTAATCTCATGTTTATTTACCAACTCATTGGGTTAATACGTATGTAGGAATGATGATAAATATGTACTGTGTAAGTTCTTTCAAAACTCTCTCACCTGCGTAACGTCTCGTCCTCTTTTTTCCAAGTAACTTTAACCATCAATGCAACAAAAATAAAAACGTTCATGGCAAGAATGATTCCCACAGGTAAGAGGAAAGACCAAAACATTGGTTTTCCGTAGTCAAAGTGACCAGCGGTGTTCAAAGTAGCCAGCCAGCAGCTAGGGTTAAAGATACAAATCGATATTATTACATAAAAGATACATAAATAATACGTCAAGAATGACATCAATGAATGGAGAAAGAATTTATAATGAGGAAGCAGGTAACATGGGAAAATAATGCTTTCAATGAGTTCAGGAGACATCATGGCTTCAGTGTTATTATTATTGTTATTATGATATTTATAGAGCGCCATCAAATTCCGCAGCGCTTTACAATGGGTGGACGAACAGACATGTAGTTGTAACCAGACAAGTTGGACACACAGGAACAGAGGGGTTGATGGCCCTGCTCAATGAGCTTACATGTTAGAGGGAGTGGGCTAAAATGACACAAAAAGGTAAGGATAGTATTAGACTAATGACAGTTGCAGAAGAGGAATCAGTCAGGAACTATTAACAGTTTAATTGATACGCTTTTATGAAGAAGTTGGTTTTTAACGATTGTTTGAAGGAGTGGAGACTGGTTGAGCATCTAATGGAGGAGGGAAGCGAGTTCCACAGGAACAGTGCAGCCCTCGAGAAATCTTAAAGGCGAGCATCAGAGGTGGGAGTACGGACAGAAGATAGACGTAAATCTTCAGCAGATCTATTATACATGATATTTTTAGGGTTAAAGTTGGTGTACATGTTTTGGTGTACGTGTTTTGGTGTACGTGTGTCAGTGTTAGGGATAGTAAAAAGATTAAGAGATTAGGGCTCTATTATTCTCAGGGCATCACTGGGAAATACTGTATATACAAACTTCATATAACGCCACCTTTGCCACAATTCAGTTTGTGAAATTTCTACCCTGCGAGATCTGCTTCAGTAAACTGTACATACTATTATTGTAAAGAAATGGAAATGCCTTTAGCAACAATAGCCCAGCCACGAAGTGGTAGTTTGTGCACACCTACAGCACTCCTTGTGCTGATGCACATATGGCAGGAAAATTGAATATCATCTGCTGTAATATTAGTATTGCGTATTTATAAAGCGCCAACAAATTTCATAGATCTTTACAGACAAAGTATTTGTAACAAGACAAGTTGGACGCACAGGAACAGAGGGTGCTAAAGGTCAAATAAGCTTACATTCTAGAGGGTATACAGAGGTATACAGGAAGAAAACCAGGTTGACTGAATAGTCTTTCAGGGGCAGGCAACCTGCAGCACTCCATATGCCGTGGACTACATCTCCCCTGATGCTTTGCCAGCATCATGGCTGTAAGAGCATTATGAGAGATGCCACAGATTAATTAAAGATTAGCCTGACCTAATGGCTTAGCATTTCTGTTATCAGTCCTGTATTACATATTTAATTCCCACTTGCAGGTATAAAAGAGATCTAGAAGTATCTATTTATTCTTGCAGCTATTCATTTTACTAATTTACAAAATGTTGTTAATTGACCACCATTCATCTGGAAAGAGGCATTGGGTGTACTGTTATCTGCAATACAACTCTACACTATTAGAAAGGTACAGATTAGACCTGGGCAGTTGCACTATTAGAAAGGTACAGATTAGACCTGGGCAGTTGCATAGGAATCAGTAAAGATTAAGATAATTGGAAATATATCACAGGACTTGTGCACAATCCTAAATGATGGAGTCCAGTGTGCAGTAAATGTGGACTTCCAGTAGTGGCATAAGTGAGGCAGAATGTAGCCCCATGGAGCAAGCACAGCTGAAGGGAAAGAGGCCTTGGCAGGGCAAGGAGGTGGGCTTAGGTGGATCTTGTGGTTATTATGGGGGTTATTGTTAGGGGCAGGGCTTGTATAAATGGGCCAGCCATTTTAGATTCTCTCATTACTAATTTACTCACCAGACTGTGTTGGTCCCTCCCTCCCTTGGGTCAGAGTTGTTCTATTTGTAAGTCCTCATTTTGTCGTAGCAGAGGGGCTGGTGAGGGGAAGATTAGGGGGTAAATGGTATTTTAGTTAATCAAAAAAAGCAAGGGTAGTTTGTTGGTTGGTTCAAAATGGTTTGCTATACGGTTGGTATTATGTTGGTAGGTTTCAAGCTCGTCAGTGGCTCAGAACCTCGGGAGTGTAGAGATATCTGGGCATACCCCTACCAGGATTCTGTTAAGAAATGATGTTTGTACTTTACTTGTTGATATTTATGTGGTTATTTTATTGTTATGTTAACGCTAACAGTATGGATCATGCCTTTTATTATTGATATGTGGGATATGTTCTCATGTTGTATGGTTAGGGGTTGGGGGCCCACGGCTTTCAGTAGGTTTATTTTGATGTCATAAGTTATTACAGCTGTGGACGTATTGACCCATAAATTAAGAGTGTTACCTGCCCATATGGCGACAAGGCACCTATCAAGGTGTTTTTGTGATGAAATATAGGATTATATATATACTTATATACATGAAATCATGTCTGTGCTATAAAGATAGCATGTAACATAGTCACATTATAACAAAATCTATTGTTTGCTGCTTTAAACATATTTTATTGTCTAATATTGTCACAGTGGCAGCTCTTGGGCGATCATAATCCGCATTGTAGAAGAAACCCCACCCAGAGCAACTGCCAAATTTCATCATGTCCTGCTGCACCTGCAAGGCTAGAATTCTATCTGAAATAAACTCAGCCAAGCGTGAAGGTTATATCCTGACCTAATTGTACATGCAAGCAATAGCATCCACCGCAGATCATAGATAGTGTGTCAGACAGAGCACTAGGTTCTTTAGAATCATTGAATCGTCATTAAATCCTTTAACATTGTACTTGTTCATAATTACATCATTTACACAAAACATGAAACCTTCGTGGGTTTTTATTAAAAATAATACCTTATTTTAACTGTAATTATGAAATTCAAATAGAGAGTATTAACAAAGGAAAGCAAATATGTTTTCTCCATATGTGAACACAATTTTCTATTTAGGCATGTGTCATAATGTATACTCAAGTGCTTAATAGATGCGCAATATTTGTTTATATGAAGTACTTCATTATTTTGTTAATTTAGAATAAATATAAATAGTGTAGAATGAATCATTGTCTTTTAATTAAGTACAAAACTGTTATTTTGTTTATAGATTGCTCTTCTTCATATGCATAACAAGACCTATGGAGGATCCTACTGTCTTGCTGGGTCTTCCAACCTAATTTGTACTCTCAGGTATCTGTGCAAATAAGGTCGCACAGGGCCCTGGTCAGGTTACCGATTTGCCTGCCCACCCCCCCCCCTCCCCTTCATTTTTCACATTAATTTTTCACATCAGGATGGTGAATGGGACCAATCAAATTAAGTTGTTGGTAGGTGGTTTTAAAAACAGCATTGTAAGAAGTGAAAATTTCAAGTAAATATATCTATCTTTTCCTTCTTCTTCCAGAGATTCCACAATTCCACTAGTGGACGAGGTGGTTTGGCCAAATGGATCATCAATCATCTAGTGTCACGGTGCACACTTCTTCAAGGAGGTGCAGGGCAGTCGGAAGGCATGACTGAAGGAAGACTACACCTCCCTTTTTACTTTATGGCCCTTTCACACCAAACGTATTGTTATCAGGTTCTGTACACCTGACAGAAATACTTTTTATATCTGTGGAACAACCACAATATATCCATTCCGGAGACCTCTAACACAGCCTGTTGGTAACTTAAAATAGTACACCCCTCCAGTTCGCCCAAACGACTTACAATAGTTACACTAGTCATGCTTTGCTGGGCATGCTCTTGCTATTATGAATTTTTAAAACAAGAGGCACAATTATCCACCTGTGGATTATTATTGGTTTTTGGTTTTGACTCTTGCCATAAAATTGTCTTCTTACTGCTAATTGTCAATTTTCATTTCAAAAGGTTCCAAAGTCTGCTAAGCGAGAATAGCACATATGTGTGGATTCAGTACGTCTTGAAAAAGATATAATACATGCCCTTTGTCCTCTGCCCGGGAGTTAAATTCTGCATCCAAAGTTGGAATCTGATATACATCACATACCTATACAACCAAATTAACCCTGACAATGCTGCAATCAGTCACAGCACATTTCATATTGCAGGACGGATAAATTAAGCCTCCTAATAATGTAATCAACCCCTACTAGGTAATCATCTCATGTATATACAACACACAAACATTTATTCACAATCTTTGTACAGTGAAACAATGGATCATGCTTGCTAGGCATGACACCCGATGTATCTATTTTAGTTGCTATTTATACCAAGAGGCCCCTTTGGATAATTACCATTTATAGTACCCAAGTCATCAGCAACCTCCTCATTTGATTATTTATGTGTCCCTCATTTTTAGACTGTTATTTTTTTGGCTGTAAATAATATTTTGTAATAAGGATTTTACAAAATATACAAAGTGGACTTAAACAGTAAGTTGTATTAAAAAAAGGCATGAATATATTTTGATGAAGGGTAAACATATTCAAATTATCTTAGCCAGGGCAGACGACTAAAATATTTTAGGGGTAGGAACTCTTTAAGGATTGAGGAAACCCAAGAACGTGCAGAAATTTTGCAAGGTTAGGCATAATATATCATTATTAAAGTGTTTTACTCCCCCAATATTTTTGCAAATGTTGAATAAATAAATGGAAACATTTTTTTAGATTTGGCGAAATTCCCATAATTCTATTTTATTAGATATCTCTGATCCGGAGTTTATACACAACATATCCGTCTTTGTCTACATTTATACGCTTGCTCTGTGTTTCATGTTCCAGTTTTCAACCAAAAATAACTTGATTGGGTAAGGTTAATAAAGCCAATGCCTTTCTCAAATTATAAACACAATACAATAGTGAATTACAGCACACAATGAAATACCTGAAAACATTAACCTTTTTGGTTTTCAAAAAATTTTGTTTGCTAATAAAGTTTACAAACTACAAGTTACAAATAAAAATACAAGTAAACGAAATACTTACAATTCTTCTTGTCGATAGTGTGAAGGTGAAGAGCTGTAAGTAGCCCCAAATGTTATGCCAACAAATACTGCTGGCAAACCTAAAAATGGCAAAATATGATGTAAAATGAATGCATATCTTCTAAGTAAAACGCTTCACCTTAAATGCACACTAAAAGCTGTATATAGCTTTAACAAAATAAAAATATGAGAAAATTATGCCAGAAACTTGAATATTTATAACATAAAATGGTCAATTCTCCCCAGAGTTTATCCATCCTAAGAATTTAATGAAGGAACATCTGAAAGAAACCTTTTAGGCTGCAAACTACCCTTTTTAATGCAGCAGAACAACAGAGGCTGTTGCCATGTTAAATGCTTGTGTTGCACTGGTAAATCCCATCATGTCATTTTTTGCTGTTTGCAAAACTGCCTTGATTTACATTATACTTTTCCTTGGAAAGGAGCAGTGGTGGCATTCTTTATGAATTTTGAGATTCATAGGGAGAGCATAAGACAAGGCGCAAGAGAATACCGAGAACAGGCAACAGCTCAAATATCCTGCCCTTTGGTGGGTTCCCGCTCAGATTTCAAGCTGGTTTTAGCTCATCTTACAAAAAGAACCAGGCCATTTGCATATCATACTGATTCCAACCAAAAGGGTAGAACAGATCTAAAACGCAGACCGGCTCTCTCTGCACAAGAGATACAGCAACCCCAGACGATCGTTTCAACCTTGTTAGGCATCGTCAGTGTGGTATAGCCAATATCCCTCTAGGCACCGAAGAGCAAGCTATTTGAGCTGTTGTCCATTCTCAGTATTCTCTTGTACCCTGTTTTGCTCTCCCTGAGTTTAAAAGGTAATCTAGATCCCTTGCTCAAGGCGCCTAGAGGGATATTGGCTGTACATCAATGAAGAAGCCTAAGAGCAGGGCCGGTGCAATGATTTTTGAGTACACAGGCGAAGATGATTTTGTTCTTTCCCCTTCCCCCCCTGTCCCATAGTCTTCTTTCTCCCCCCCTACCTGTCCCATAGTGTTCTTTCTCCCCCCCCACCTGTCCATAGTGTTCTTAACCCTCCTTCGTGTCCCATAGTGTTCTTACCCCTCATCCCCTGTCCCATAGTGTTCTTACCACTCCTCCCCTGTCGCAAAGTGTTCTTTCCCCTTCCCCTCGTCCCATAGTGTTCTTTCCCCTCCCCCATGCGTAGTGGTTTTTCCCTCCCTGTCCTAAAGTGTGCTTTCTCCCCCCTCCCCTGTCCCATAGTGTTCTTTCCTCCCTCTCCCATAGTGTTCTTACCCCTCCTTCCCTGTCCCATAGTGTTCTTACTCCTCCTCCCCTGTCCCATAGTGTTCTTTCCCCTCTCCCCATCCCATATTGTTCTTTGCCCCCCATCCCATAGTGTTCACCCCCGTCTCATAGTGTTCTTTTCCCCCCGTCCCATAGTGTTCATTCCCCCTGTCCTTTAGTGCCCTTCTCCCCCCCCCGTCCCCGCTGTGCGTCCACCTCCTGCCGATCACTCTCATCTAGCGCCCCCGGCCACTTGTGCCACTTTATGGGCGCACTGGCCCTGCCTAAAAAAGCTGAAACGATCGTCTGGGGTTGCTATATCTATCGTGCAGAGAGATCTGAGCGGAGACCCACCGAAGGGCAAGCTATTTGAGCTGTTGTCCGTTCTCAGTATTCTCTTGCACCCTGGTTTTTTTCTCTTTTGAGATTCATAAACATATTTTTAACTGAAGGCAACATATGACCAGCTAAGTGTGGATGTCGAATTGCAAATTATAGACCAAAACGGAATTGGTAAAATTCCTCAGCTCATCTATTTTTTACAGCTTTATTTTTTTGGACTAAAACGTGCCATTCCCTGGTCAGTTATCAATAAATTCTTGTTTTTGAAAAATAAAATGCACATTATATATTTATGAAGTTAGAAATGCCTTACCCCATGCAGTGATTATGGAATACATAGTTAAGTGAGATGGAAGCGTATGTTTGATTTGAACCAGCTGCCTATACATGAGGGCAGCTGAGACTGCAGTCCAAAGAAAGGTTGTAAGAAGAAAGTAATGAAGTAGAACCGCTACCGCTGTGCACGATCGATTCTCGGGGGGCTCTATCAAGTCGGTCTTGGGGATTTCATCAGGATGTTTCTCGATGTCTGTTGAATTTGGTTGATTGTTTTCCACTCCAGTTATAAAGATAATATTGAAGATCAACATAGATATGAACAGGCATAAAAGTATCCACTTAGTCTGCTGTTTCTCCCTGCCAATAGTTATAAATTTACATTTAAGCTTTGTTAAAGGAATGGGTTAAAGGAAGATACCAAGCACCATCATCACTACAGCAAGCTGTAGTGGTTGTGGTGCCTACAATGCTCTGGCTCCAAAGCAGAGTCAAATCATGCAAATAAAGAAATAACACAATCTTTCATTTCTAATTAGAGATATTTCTGTTCTTTTCTTATATGCTTTAAAACATCAGAAAAAAGTAAAGGATACTGCGATAATAATAAAGGCTACATGATACTAATGTAGGTGAATCAAACAAATAATACAAGACAGGCACGTAAAGAGCTGACGAAAAGCTCAAAACATTATCATGCAGTCAACAGTATAAAGAATAACTTGGCAAGTTTCATGGGTTATAGTAGATGAGGAAACATGAGCCCAGCAGGAAACACATTAAACCTCTCTAAAAGTTTGACTCCTTATATTGGGAGGGCTGGTGCTAGGGTATTCTAGGCACCATAACTACTACATTGCACTGCAGTTGTGATGGTGCTTGAAATGCTCCTTTAATTACAATTATCTACCAAAGCTCACATGGACTGAATTAGTATTATTAGATGTGAATTGTGTTGAAAGCTGATTTATGGAGATAAAATTTCTGGTGACAATTCCAATTTAATCTGACGGACAAGAATAATTTCCAGACCATTTCATGCTCAAATATTATCAGTAACTCTTCATAGATGAGAAAAATTGTGCAATTACATTATTGGTTCAGGGCAAAAGCACAGCATTGAAATAATTATAACTTGCTTACAAATGACAAACATTTTCTTGCAATTAGAAAAGAAATGTCCATGGGCAAATAAGTGCAGCCATGGAAATTAAAGGAAAAAGAAAAAGGTTTAAAGGAACGCTATAGCGTTAGAAACACATATATGTTTTCCTAACTCTATAGTGCCTTAGTCACCGTTTAGGTGACTGGGCCAGCGCTACCATGGTTAAAAAAGGTGATTTAATTACCTTTCAGACCTCATCTGCACAGAACGGAGGAAGCCAGCTGTGTCAATAACTAGCTAATTCATAGTGAACAATATATCAAAAGACTAAGTAAAGCATGGAGGTGTAACTATCCCAATATGACTTTCTATAGCACCACTCAGTTTTTGCCATGAGCAGCCCTTTATTGCCAATTCTCAGGTTTTGCTGTAGATTGCAAGCAGCTAAACTACAAATCCCAGAAACTGCCCATAATATATGTTACTTTTGCTGTGAATATGATAGAACGGGAAGGAGACAGACAAAAATGGTGGGCTTTTGCCCCGCCCCCTCCAATAAAGTATAAGAAAGTGATTTTAATCTAACCTGCAGATCACATCCAGTCCCTGGATTTCGATTTTTTAAATTACACTAAGCGCTAGAACTACTACAGTTTGATACAGAGGTTCTGGAGCAAATGGACTGTCTCTGTAGTTTCTGCAGTGTATACACCGCCTTTTCTGAGAAATGGCAGCCACTTCCTCGAGTATGGCCCTGCAATGTTCACAGGACCGACATTCGGCATCTTCACACTCTGCATGGAGACTCCAAACATTCTCCATAGAAATGCATTGAGTTAATTCATCCCTAGGAGATACAGATTGGAGCAGAGTGACAGCTGCCACGCATGCACGCTTGCCTCAAAGCGATGCCGTATGGTTAAGCATTGGATTAGCTGAGAACCGTTAACGATTTGCGTAATCGTGATGTTAGAGAGTATTCCTTTAAGGGTGTATCTGTCATTTAGGGTGGTGTTTGTATTGAAATATAAACAATAAACAATTTAGAAACCTAAATTGAGAATTACATTTATAGCAAGACTCTTCTTACCTTTGCAATATTTGAAAAACAATGGTGATGGCTAATCCAGCAATAGAAAGGGCACATCCAACGGTTGACACAATTCCTAAAGCTTTATAGTGAGAGTGTTTTTTAAAGCTCTGAAAGCAAGAAGAAGGCATTTGTTAGTATTACTTTATGTTAACAAAATGCTAATTCCCAATACACTGTTCAATATAATTGAATGTAATCTCAAAAACACAATTAGTTTGAATAATCTAGTAATATCCTACAAAAATAGCAAAAAAAATTGTAACATATTATTATTAAAGAGTAATAGCAGCTCATTAGAGGGATAAAGAAAAGAACAAAAATAGTGTAGCATGGACTTATTTTATGACTACATTAATCTATCCTATTTTGTTAGTTTGTATTTCCTTGGTATATGTTCAATATTTGGACTATCTCCTATGTCCCCTTATATAGTTACCTTTTTTCATATGGTATTTTACATTTTTTTTAGATCAGCGCTCCTTACTTTGTTTTCATTGAATACTTTTATATGAAAATACAACTTTGTATTTATAGCCGTAATTGGAGTTCTCATTTCTGACTTCACCACTTTTGCAAGGGGAATATAGGGGGAAGGGTAAAGACATTAGTAAATATTGTTGTTTTATTGATTTACTGGTCTGCCCTAAAATATTGCTTATCCGGATGTTCTCTACATACATTATTTCAAAAACATAGAACCTAGATGTCTCGAACACACAGTCACGCCAATCACCACTCTAATGTGAGGTAGGAGGTACTAAAAAATGCAGTTTAAAATAATTACTAGTTAAAGGGACACTCCACTGCCCAAATAAAAACAAAATAAAAATAACTGTTTAGTAGATATACCCCAAATGAAAACTTGCACACATTTAATTATACATTTTTTTGATATCTAAAACAGCTTTTAAAAAAAAGAAGATTTTAACCCCGTCCACACTTTATGTGGCAGTTCAATTACAGACTTCCCAATGCAGTTCACTGAGAAGTCTTTACAAGGCAGGTGCCTGGGCAATTGATGCCTCTTGAGTTCAGTGCAAATAAGCTAACCAAACCAGGAAGTAACGGGACATGCTGTCTCGCTTGAAAAGCTAAGGGGAAATTAAACCAGGATAATATATAAAAGTGTTAGTTTCTATAGAAATCTGTGCTATTTCCAAAATGAAAAAAAAGAAGGCACACTCCTCACACATAAAGCATTCAGCAAGCTAAAGTGCTTGAGGGGCCTGGAGTGTCCCTTTAATTTTTTATTGCAGCTACAACTTACCATAAGAACAGCAAAGTTGGTAGTGTGATTGCAGCTGCATTGTAGGAGACCCTTATCGTTCTCCACATTTGAACAACCTTTTGTGTTCCAGTCGCTCAGTTTATAATCCCAAAAAACACATGTATAGGATCGCAGTATGTACAATGGGTCATGCTAAAATATAAATAAAACACAGAATTATTAAACTGTTTCATTTACTTAAATAATAATACAAGCAGGGGAAAATTGGAGGATATTAAAGATAAGATCATTTACAATTAATTATAGTGCGAGGAAGCAAGAAGACTAAAAGTTATATTATCTACACTTGATATCATGGCCGATGCTTGCTAATTTTAGGAAATTCTGGATTATGAGATTGTTAATGTTAGCAAAATATATATCCGTGACTTAAATAACACTCCAAGCTCTATAAACAGTACAGTGTGCTGTAGCGGTTATGATGCCATGAGTTCCCTAATGTTGTCCCAAATCATTTAAGTTTGGATTGACAACTTACTTGAATTCGGCCAAGTACGTGCAACAGCATCCATTAATCTGGTCTTCTTCCGTAGAAGAACCGGAAGTGCTTTGTTGAGGAAAGCAGCGATGTGGCGGAACCAGCCTCGCCACTGGGCATTGGAGAAGACAGATTGCAAGCCTCCTGCCCTGTGACTATGGCCCAATGTTGAAAGGCTTGATTTTCCCCTGCAAAGACCTGAAAGCCGGGTCATTCGGTACTTTCCCTATGTGAGCAGTGTTACCCCAGATAGCTATGCCATGGAACCCATTCGTATAACGAAAGACTATGTGAAAGACTTTGGCACCATGGCAATTGAACTGTGTGTATGTGATCTGAGCGTCATCTAGTAATAATGTACTTTCAGATCTAAGCTGGGGATATGTTGAATGTACCTGTTTTATGCAATAGCTGCACAGTTATATATTTTTATGTATTTTATTGTATTTTGCTACCATGGGGCTAATGGAGTTTTGCCTCTGTCCTTGGGAATAATTGGATTACTTCCCAATTATGTCCAGGATAGAAGACTCTGTGGAACTGGTTTTGGGCAGAAAAGCCATGCTTCATTTGGTCACAAATGACCCACTGGACCCACTGGACCAATTTGTCTGATTTTGACGTATGCTGGTATTTGGAGTATGCTGATTCATTTCACATTTTATGTGAATGTGATGCATACTTTTACAGTTATGAATATTGTGTAAAACTGTGTATTTTCCTGCCTGTGATAATTATATTAACCCATTGTGTAAGGTAATTGTATCACAGGCAGAGGGGAGGATTTTGTGTGGGAGTGTCTGAGTGTATTGTACGTGTTTATTGGTTGTTCTTCAAAACCCTGTGGGCAGTACTATGTTTGTAGAATGTGAATAAAAGAGGCTGTATGGGCCAGTACAGTCAGTTCTACTTCACCATCAATTTGGAGTGTCATCTCTTATTGGGGGAACCTGCTACAAGGGATTGCTATGCTCTACATACTCTCTTGCTAGATTCACTGCTAAGCTCTTGTAAGAGCTTGTTCCTGTTTTTGCTCTCTGAAGGAGTCTACTGTGGTTATGGTGTCTGCTGGAGTGCTGGAAACCCTCAGGAAGCGCTAGGAGCATCCTTCAACGGAGGTACCCAGTCGGGGTGCTAGGTGATCCGTTACAAGCGCCATGCAGGGTCATACTTATTGGCTGAGAGTATAAGCTGAGTGCTCTAAGCCAGTGAGTGTCCTGTACTAGCCGTGCTTCACCCTACAAAGATAATGCACATACTGGAGAAGACAGGATGCAGGGATAAAGCCATGAGCATCGGGCAAGACCCAGGTAAGTAGTCAGACCTTACTAACAAGGTTTGACATCTTATCATAAGATAGAAACAAGGCACTCCTAGCAGCATGAACACAAACAGTGGGCTGCAGTGGTTATTGTGCTTCAAGCGTTCCCTTAATATATATTAGATTAATCCATTGCAAGCAATTCAATGAATGCATTAATTGCCATGCCTGCATGATAATTCTTCATTTGCATATGGTAGATTCTCTGGGGCATATGTAAAATTTGTCTTTAAACAAATGAAAGTTTTTATAATTTATAGGTCATTACATTATCTTTTTATCTTTTACACAAATTATATATTTTACTAACAAGCTTATTAATGTCTCTGCTCTGGCAAAGTCAGTGGGAGCCAGAAGCACAATGTCACTTTTAAATTTGCCGAGTACAACCTGCTCACCTAATAGCACAAGGTAGAAACAATGTCAAAGGAAAATAAAAAAATTCTGGAATCTCCCCTCCAACCAATAAATAAATCCACAAGAGAGGACCTGTGGGAAATAAAGGACCACTAAGGTTACCCAGGCCCCTCTATCTTGAGATCAATGGTCCCGACAGTTTATCCCTGGAATGTAAAATATTGCAGTTTTGTAGAACTGCATTCCTTACAATACAGTTTTAGACACACCTCTAGTGACGGTCTTCCTGACAGCCACTAGAGGCACTTCCGCTACACTAACCGAGTAAAACGTGGTCACGTGCCGTTGCAGCTCTTAGGAAACCATTGAATTCATGAGGAGCATTGGATTGGATATTCCCCGGAGGAAGCCATGCATTCTCAATGACGTTACGTGGAGGTAAGGGTGTAAAGTCATAGAGGAGAGCAGTGTCAAGGAAGTCTCAGCACTGGAATAAGGTTTGTAAAAAAATCCTTTTTAAAATTATTTTTATAGCAAATGTGGTTTCCCTAAATCTAACTAATGACAGGGGCACTATAGCGTTAGGAATATAGGTTTGTATTTCTAACAATATAATGTTCCTTTAAAGAAGACTTGCACAAATGGCCCTCGAGAAAAAAACTGGGTGAATGGAGTCCCCAATATTCTTAATAGTCATGGAATGTGATGACTAAGCTCCCTCTTCTTCTTCTGTGCATTGAAGTGGAGTGCAGTATTAGTAAGGAACTGGTGAAGCACTTTGATAAAAAAATAACCCTGCAGGGACTTGCTGAATTGTTTTAGTGGACTTGAGTGCTCCTTTAAATTACACCAAACTAGGACCTACGGTTGCCCAGTTCCTAGTCCTTAAAAAAAAAAAAAAAAAATTTAAAAATAGTGGTGCGGCCAGGTCTCCTCAATCGTATGGCATGTCATTATATTTATTTCAAATAAGGTGTCACATCTTCTTTATGCTACAAAATTTATGTTTGTCTTTTATACTACTTTTTCTGAAACCAACAAACTTAATAAGTCTGCAAAATATTCATGAATATTTAATATTTAATAATTAGAAATATTTGTGATTTTTGTTTTTAACTTCAGGAGCTAAATGTTTTCTTTATAGAACTCGCCGAGACTTACCTGTGGGTTAAATATAAATTGGATATTTCCCAATGTCCCACTGGAAAGACTGGCAGAAATTATTCTTTTTCTTAAACTGATTTTAGGTGTATGTTTTTTAGAACGAAAGAAATTATCATTCTGATATAGAACAAAGCCAACAGTTCCTTTGTTATAAGAATCTATAGAGGAAAAAAATAAAAACTCAGCACCAAAAATAATTTGACACATTTCTATTTTTTTTTTTTTAAAGCTCTGCAGTATATTCATTCCAGATATAACAATATATTGTGCTACGTTAATTAGCAAACAGGTTTCAGGAAATCTGCTTATGTCAACTGTCTGAACATGAGTACTGCCATTTTGAATAAAAATTTCAGCTCTTCAGCAAAATCTTCTTACTTTGGTAATGATTCGTCCATGACTACGTTTCATGAATGAGGTGTTACATTGGGTTGATAAGATCATACTAACTTCAGTTTGAACTCATCTCAGAATATTGTTTGTGAATCTAAGTTGTCATTTCTTGTTCTAACTTATCTTATTTGGAACATGGGAATTATGAGAATCATGGGAAATGTATTTGAGTAGAAATATATTCAGTTAGAGAACAACAAAAATCACCATATGAAAACATTACTTTATTATTTGGCAGATTCAAAAATAATATTTGAAACAATTTCAATTCTACTGTTTTACATTCTTGAAAAGTAGTAGGAAAAATTATCTTTAACCCCTCACTCCCCCAGAAAAGGATTAATCTCTAGGCGGCTGTCCCCCTTCATTTGTCATATGGGGTTGGTAAATAGGGCCAAGGAAATTCCTGGTTCTGGAGCCTCTGTCTAACCCTCGGATCCTTAGGTGGCCGCCTAGGGTTGCCTTAAGGTTCTACCTAATCCTACTCTTTCCTCTGTCCAGCTCCTTTTTGCTTTCTTGCTCCTCTGCTCTTTGTCCTTCCCATAGCCCTGTTCTTTCTTCTACCCTGCTCTGCTTTGCCTTTCTCCCTGCTCTGCTTACTGCCCTTCCCTCTGCTATTTCTTCTGCCCTGTTCTGCTCTCTGCCTGCCCAGGCAGTGGTAGGTAATGTGTCCTCCCCAGCAATCCAGCTTATCAAGCAAAAATACCCCAGAAATACACTTTCTCAAGAAAAATACCCCAGAGCCTTACAGACTTGCATATATCCCCACATTTACCGACACTCATTAAAATGTAAAATATGTACGAACCCTAAATTTAGAGAAGCACACACACATTAGCCTTCAACATACACACCCTAGCACTCACACAAGCACTGATGCTACAAATATATGTGCAGACACCCCTACATTTGCAGACACACACCCATTGCCTCTCAACACTCACACTACATTAACACAGCACACACAAACTACTCATATTCACACAGCTAATCACATACGCAGTGTAAATGAAGGGTATGTGTGCATTGAGGAAACTGGCCTTGGGCAAGCAGAGAGGTTAAATCTGTCCCTGATCCTAAACTAACATATTTTCATTAAAAAAAATAAATAAATTAAAACATTAAATGTATAACTGGATGTCAGCTGACATTCTAATAAGGGCCTTGATTTAGTAAGTGTTCCAAATGATGTAATACTGTTAGAAAAACCTTCCGAATGATTTATCTAAAGGAGTCACCATTAAAATCTATGGGAATTGTTTTTAGATAAATCATGTGGAAACGGTATTAAATCATTTGGAAATCATATTAAATCAAGACCAATGTGAGTAATGTATTTCTTTAAATAAAATATTATCAATATATTACGAGAATGCAAAATTGATGTCTACCTACACACAGGTCCACTTTTGGAGAAAAAATTATTAGTATTTATAGCCCCTCAAAGATATGCAGAGTGAGTCATTCAGGTAAAGAAATTAGATTATCTGTAAGGCAAGCATGTCAAACTCGCGGCCCATGGGCCGCATGCGGTCCACAATGAATATTTTTGCGGCCCAGCGAGGGCGAGTTTGCCAAGCTTACTAAAGCAGAGTAGGCACCTGCTCTCCTCACATTGCAGGTGCCTAATCTGCCAAAATTACCCGGCCGGGGAGGAGAGGTCACTGGCGTCAGCGAGGGAGCTCAGTCTTCCTGCTCCTCACTGCTCCCTCGCGCGCGCCCTCTGTAGTGATGTCGGGTGCTGGAATATGACGTCATTCTGACACCCGGCATCCATAAAATGCACGCGTGAGGGAGCAGGAAGACTGAGCCCCCGAGAGTGTGTGCAAGAATTTGTAAATGTGTGTGTGTGTGTGTGTCTGTCAGAGAGTGTGTGTCTGTCAGTGCGTGTGTGTCTGTCAGTCAGTGCCTGTGTCTGTCTGTCAGTCAGTTTGTGTGTCTGTCTGTCAGAAAGTGTGCGTGTGTCTGTCAGAGAGTGTGTCTGTAAGTATTGCGATGGCCGCGGCTGGACAGCGGAGGACCTGGAGGTGCATGGAGGCACACAACGCCATGTCACATTCTGACATGATGTCAACGTGCTCCACCTTCACAGGTTTTCAAGGAGTAGCAGGAGGATCTATTTAGCACACGATAAGGACAGCGCCATTGGGGGTATACCAGAGGCTGGACTCCGAGGTTGCATACTGGCAGAGGCAATGTGAGTGGAGTCTGCTAGTTGGCAAATATTGTTTCTGGGTTTTTTTAAAACAAGGGCTGGTTTAGTAGAGGGGGTAGCTGGGATTTAATACAGAGAGGGGGACTGGAATTTAGTATAGAGGGGGGAACTGTGAATTAGTACTGAGGGGGCACTGGGATTTAGTACGGGGGGGGTTAAGATTTAGTACAGAGGGGTGGACTGGGGTTTAGTAGAGGGGGATGCTGTTTTTTATACTGTACTTTTCAAAACAAACCTACATTTCTATGAAAATTTAAGGTTTTGTTTTTTTTGTGGCCCACATAAACTTAAACCTTGTTTATGTGGCCCGTGCTAGCCTTTGAGTTTTACATGCTTGCTGTAAGGTGACAACCAATGCTATAGTAAAGGGCAATGTCAATAAGGCAACGTGGATTAAAATTAATTTAGCATTTCTGTGAAAGTTACATGTTATCAGAAGAAGTGGCACGGAGACTCTTTGCATTTTTTCATGCTGTCTGTGTACGTATATAGAGAGTATTCCTGCTCAGAGAGAGAGATTACATGCTGGGAATGTTTTTATAGTAATGTTTTCTAATTTAAGACTATGTCCTCTTGTTGTGGTAGTTTTTCTTTGTAATAAATGTACATTGAACCAGTTCTTACTTCAAGTAACGCCCGAGTGTAATATTCACCCTATGGTTGCCAACAACTTCCTGGGTAAGTTTGTAGGTTCCTTTGTACAACTAACCCTATCAAGGTTATTCATTAAACTCTGTATAAGTAACCAAATATTGGAAAATATTGCTGATCTCATAATAATCTCCACTTAACTTAATCACAGCTTGTCTATTTTAGTTTACATGCTGCCGATTTCAACACAGACATTTAAATAAATGCAGGTATCGCTTTATGTACTCACCGCTTTGACTACTGACAAAAATTTGAACTTCTGCCATTTTGTCAATTAGCAGTTCAGATGCGTTTTCTTTGACTATTATTCTGTTTGATGCCAAATTATCATCTTCACCAAGACCTAAACATAAAAAAACAATGTGTTTTTGTGAAGCACAATATTTTGTATGAAATACAGAAAAGGCAAATGTATACATATAAGTTTATTGTCTCTAATCAAAAATAATCAATCAGTTGTTTTTATTATCAATACTAACACTACAAATCAAGACTGGATTTCTGAAGACACATTAATTTAAACACATCCATGTTGGGGCTGATGTGTGAGGTAAGTGGCTATGAGTAAATTTTGGGACGTATTTTCTTTTTGACCATGCCTCTCAGTTCCACTCATGCTGTCCTCTATTCCAATTATACAAAACAATATTTGTGTGTGTTAATGAGGCATTTTTGCCTAAGGGTGGTAAGCGTATCTTAACTACCCTAAAAAGTTATGAGAGAAAAATGGGTGTCCACATTACCAGAGGACTCGTAACCGTATCCACCTGAAAAGAATAACGTTACAATAAGTCCATCTGTCTTCTTTACCCGGGAGCAAGCAGATGTTAATATACTGGACAGCAAATACAGTTGTAGTGGGCCTGCTGATAACTTGACCGGTTGTCCTTGCTCAACCACGTCTTGTCCCTGGAAGGGAATCTGTTATAGTACAGAGAGACCCATTTCCCAGCCAAGTAACTGGATGAAACACAGTTCTGGGGGTACAACAACAACTTTATTGGCCTCACTCAGGTTTATACTTTCCCCATGCAAGGGGTGGATCACATATAAAAATAATGTCCCCTCCCATGCTCCTCCTCCTCCCAGGGGACACATAACGGAACTGAAACCCCAATCCCTTTGTCCCCTGTCCCCGCCACTCAGTGTCCCCTCCCAGGGTCTCCTGACGGAAACGGAACTCCAGTCCCTTTGTCCCTGTTCCTGCCACCCATCCTAAGGATTTCCCACCTCCGGTGACCAGGGGGTTTTCAACCCACGAGCCTCTGTACCTGGGAGTCACAGCACGGAAAAGCTTCCCGTCTCTGTGACTCCCAGCCACAGTAAGCCCGCCAAACAACTATTGTCCCAAAAAGAATGTCCCCACCAATCTCAGAGACCCCCAGAACGGTAACTGCCTCTGCTCGTGGGGTCCCTGGGTGAAACCAGGCAAGGGAAGTGTCTCCTTTTGGGACACAAATGCTCCCCCTGGCAGCTGTTCATCTATACAAATGGCGGCCACCCAGAGAAGCACTCTAAATTACTTCCCTTGCAGTTTCACACTAATGTTGCAAGTTGCCAATGTTCTAATTGATTGATGTGAACACTCCGAGGGGCACTGGCGAGGTCCTTGTCCGGGAACCAAACGGGGGGGGGGAAGCAATCAACAAATGCTCCCCCTAGATGGCGTTCGTCTAACGAATGGGCCACCATCCAGGGTCGGCACACACCAAGGCTTCCTTTGCGGTTTGTGATTTCGACACCTCGTTATGAGGTGTGAACGTTCTATGACAACATCCAAAATAAGGTTTTCTTGGTGGTCCCCATTCAGGAGGCGAATGGAACCCATTCGCATTGAGCCCTCCCGAACGGGGAGTAGGTAAAACACATGAATACAAAACAATACAGGGGGAAAAGACAGGGAATATCTCATAGCAATTAACGAACAGGGTCCCTATCTCCTGGTATAATGGGTCCTTAGTAATATATATTGATGGATGAAGGTGCCTCAAAGCTTTAAGATATACCTATATATCAAACTATCATAAGGAAGGGTCAGGGACTGTTCAGTTTAATGGTCCTAGGTGTTTTTTCTCCTACCCCCTATAAATACATTCTTCATTTATCCCATGCACATGGCCTTCATAGTGTACAGCTTCTTCCCAAAATGACTGCGTCAAAACATGCAATCACCTGGTTGCATGTGACAATTTCCTCCCTTAATAGTCATGGGACCAAGAGTCCCAAGTCTTTGTCACATCCAATAAAAAAAAATGGCCATTACATTTTTTTCAATTGGCTCATATTTATGCTCAGATTAACGTTTTATTAATCTGTTAACTTGTTTATTTTATTGCAGTTACAGAAATAAACAAAATATCCATTGAAGAAGAAAAGTCCTTTCCCAGGCAAGAGGGCCCAAATGTTTTTGGAATCCCTTCAGCTACAAATTAATTTGTAAGAAACAACTAATAATTCCTTATACATGATAAAATGGACTTTGCACAGGCAGAGCTGGGAAAGCATGATAAAGCTGAATGTGGCATTGGCAGAATTATCCTTTCAAAATATGTAGAGAAAATAATTAGTGTGGATTAACTGTGACAGACCCTAAATAGGTTATGTCTCAGTGGAGCATTGATGAGAGCATTGATGAGAGATTGCAGGGATCTCGCTAAGGGCTTAAGCCACTAGTGCCAACATTAAAAAAGACTCCAATTTACCCTAAGGAAAATACGGATCGGGTACCGTACCTCTTAATGATGTAAATAGTACCCCACCACTGCTTCCTGTAGGCAATGGGGTGTTCTGAACTGCAACATTTGGTTGTACCACTGCTATGTTACTTGTACTGTTGCTCTGAGCAAAACTTTCCATTGCCATGGTTAAGCTGTAAAAATAAAAGAGAAAATACATTGCTTAAAGAGCATGTCCAGTTTGGTATTACCTAACAAACAAAAAACAAATACATAAATAAATACCTTTCTGCATTTTGTGTTACATCAGAATTGTCATATTCGTCAGTGTTTGCATTCAAAATTTGGCTTACAGTGGTAACAGCAGATACTACAACCTGTGAAATAGACATGTGAAATGTATTGATCTTTATTGAAAGATTCCAAGGCAATACTTATGTCTTTACAGCATGCAGTTCCATTGAGAATTATTTGTGAAATCCAATGTTTATGAATGTCTTTGTTTTAGACTTTTCTGAATCTGTGTTTTTCCTAGCATTAGGAGCAGATTAAGCCACCACGTCAAGAATTTTTTGTTATTGAAAAATATTAGTGTAATTTTTAGCTTTGCACTAATTATACTTGAGTTAATAAGGGTTTGTTTCAGCTTTTTAAAACTTTTGTTTTATAAATTTTTCTTATCTATTATTTTTATATGTTGAACTTGTTTGACCTGTGTTTTAAAATGATGTTATTACAGATGTGGCTGCTCTCAGATAGTTATGGAAGACTATTACTCTTCAAAACAAATTTATTGTTAAATGAATAAAGTCAAATTTCTTCTTTTTGTGTTCTTATTATTGATTCTGTTCTGTCTTTATCATATTAAGATTAATGTTTAAGTTATTATTCATCACCATTTATTATACATATACACTGTTATGTAAAAAGTAATAGAATTTTTTTTTAAAGTGTAAATATATATATATAAAGCTACCTTCACAGGCATCAGGTGAAAGGCTGCAAACCTTCAAACCTATTTCCTACTCCCATCCCCTGGGTAGAGGGATGGATGGAAAAATAAAACTGTAATTAAATTCCCCCTAGGGCCCTCACCCATACGATGTTAAACAAAGTAACATGTAATGACAATACTAACCTAGTTCCTATCCTCTGGGCTATAGAATGGATTACAAAGACGTAGAAGGGAGATCCCTAAGCCTTCTACGCTTACTGAAATGACAATTTTTTTTATCCTGAAAGGACATCATACTGACTTGAGGCTCTGCACTTTCCTTTCTCAAATGTATTGAAATCTATCAAAATCAAATGTATTGCAGGTCTCCCAGAGATTTTACGAGCTGAGATTGTGTGTCATGTTTGTATTGAAATGGGTAGGGGCTCAACTCAGTGTGTGCACCAAACACTCTCCCAATATGCATAAAAAATACCAAGATGTAAATCTATGAAACAGTATATATTATCATATTAGCATAATAGTGAAACAACAAGCTACCTATATACCATCTAAAATCAATCAAACTGTCTATCTTCCTACAGTATTATATATGTAAGATGTTAATTTTAAAATCATAACCAGTATTTTATATAAAAATACGTAACGGTGGACTGCATCGTTATATTAAATATCTTCATCAAATGGCTCTAGTGGCAAGTGCAAAAAATAACTAGAGATAACAAAATGTTTTAACGTACATCTGGGGCCACAGTAGGTGTCTCAGTATTATTCAGTATTCGGTTAACAATTATCATTGCATTGGAAATATCTGTTGCATTTAGATTTGCAGGTTGAGATGTGAGAATCTGAGTACTTGCAGCAATCTTCGATGCATCTTCAGTAACATCTGTCTAATAAAAGATTTAAAAAAAACATGCTTTTGTTTAACATAACAAAAAAAACAAATACTCTGATTCTATTATTAGTTAAAGGCAGGATCAGCTTAAATTCCACACAAAAAGGCTCCCATTGAGTGGTCAGTCATGTAGAAAACCTACGGGCAGGCCAGTTAATAGGTAGATAGTACATGCTCTGTATGTAGTACATAGTCACGGCCTGAAGACAACACACAGGGGGTATCCACAGCACTGCCTATAAATAGGGGTTACAGGTATCAGTTGCTGGCTGAAGGATAACTGTATTAGAAGCTTTTAAAAAAATAAAAAACAGATACATGTACTTAAAAAATCCAGATACTATTTTATTTAAAGGGTTATTTAATAGATAATGTATACTTTTTCTACTTCAAACACCCCATAATGTGAATCACATATACCTTTATAAATCTCATACTGAACATTGTATCATTTCTTAATGTGACTGTGCAATAAAACAAGTGTTAACATTAGATATCTCTTTACAGGAAATGTGTAGGAAGATTATATAGAAAACATGCAGGGACGTGTGGTTGGGGCTGCATAAACAAAGAGATTTACGTTCTAAATTGTAGAGAAATTAGATGTTTGACTGCAGGGGCATGATCTGTACACCAAAACCTCTCTGTAGCTAAAGTTGTTTTGCTGTTTATAGTCTCCCTTTAATTATTGACTTTGAAATGCATGTTGCATGTTAAGTCCCCTGGAAAATGAGATTGTAAAAATCACTATTTATGTATCTCCAAGATTCCCCAAATTTTCCTGAGTGGGTTCCAAATGTGTTCAATGGGGGCTCTGAATAGTAGTCCAATTCAGGGATAATCCAACTATTTGGGGAAGTGTTGAAAGCATTTAGCATTGAGTTTTTACTGGATCGAGGTTTGAGTAAGATGCATGTGATATAACCATAATAAGTACAATAATATTAACATTCTTACAATGTCCCTTTCTGTGCATTGCTCAGGCCAGGAAAGCCCTGTCTCGTGGATAATTATAAGAAATATGTCTCTACAATACAGGAGAGTACATTGGAATTGTTCCATATATTGATAGACAGACAGATGTTTACCATATTTGCCAAGCTTTGGAGAGTTACATTGCAGAACTGAACAGAGATATTTTGTAAGACTGGAATCCCCCCAGACAGTGTACACTGACGGAAAGCCTTTGAGGTATTTGCTTAAAAAAGAGAGAGATAAATAATTAATACAAATTTGCTAGTTTATTTGTTCTACAAACGTCCACACAAACTGTGAATATGATCAAGAGTAGGTGACATGTAACACATTGTATAAACCAAAAGTCGAAGAGATAGATAGAGAGATGCTGTGTGATCACACACACACACATATACACACACACACATATATATATGTATATAATATGTAAATATTTTGCAGTACACTGATAGGAGCATTTTCCCACCATTTAATTCATGGATCAAGTGAGAAAAAAGTAACCAAGAGAGAGAAACAGGAGTAGTAATAAAAAATATCTTTATATATTAGTACATTTGAATGACTAATACATGGAGTTCCTCTAAGAATTACATTTTCAAACACTGTCTGACACGAGGTGCATATACTGTATATAGAATATATAGGGCATGGCTTCTCAGTACTTATTTCTCTAATTTCTCCAAACTTATTGTGAAACCACAGATGACAAATGAGAGAAAAATAATCAAATATTTTTTTACTTTGAAGAGTAATTTTTTTACTTTGAAGGGCAATTTGATGGACAATAAAATTATTAGCCAGTGCTACCAAAACAGTATGTTCAAAATCCCATTTGTAGTACTGGCAACCAATATCTAGAGAAGGGGTAGGCAACCTTCCGCACTCGAGATTTTGTGTACTACATCCCCCATAACGCTCTTACAGTCCTAGTACTGGCAAAGCATTAGGGGAGATGTAGTTCACAACATCTAGAGTGCCAAACGTTGCCTATCATCTGATGTAGAGTAATGACTGTACCAACCCATGGCAATGACTCTTCACGTATGCAATAGTGACAGCAGTAATCTATGGCATGGAAAGCTATTAATGGTACCGACTAACCATATCGATGATGACATGGGCATCCAACATCCATGGCACAGACTGCCCTCTTGGTAGAAACAATAGCAGTCTACACTGGTGAGAAATGGCTCAATCACCATATATACTTACCACTTACTGTGCTGGATTCACATTGCTCATTTGAGTAGACATATCTGCCGACCAAAACTTCTTCAAATGTCAGGCATTCCTGGGATCCGTCACTTCCAATGATGCACTCTGTGCTATTACCGCAAAAATTGGCTGTAAATATAAAATGTGAAAAAATGTGTATCTATTGCTTATTAGGAAGCATACTTATTGATGATGTTGTGCCTGTCCCTTTTCTCTATCCTTTATTATTTCACCACAGCAAAAGAGACTGAAGACTTTTAGTATCATCAATGGAATCATCCATGAGTAATCTCATAGCTGGTTGTCTTTTGTCTTCTTTGTCTATTTTGTCTTTGCCGAAGCTACTGACAACCACATTGGATTACTTATTTGTCCATTAATGAGATCAACATTCATGCTCAGATTTTGGATCAATTTCATAATATCAAGCAAGGTCAGGTTTTGAAATTAAATGTACATACATACGAGTGTAATACTCTATTTACTCCCTGTTTAATTTTTTTCTACAACCATTTCAGACATTTTACAAATAAACTGCCCAAACTAATGAAAGACACGTCATTCACGTAATAAAATAGTAAACCATATAAAAATCTCACTCAGCAATCCATATGTAAGTTTGGTCCCACATTTATTTGGATAAAATTGTAGGTCTCTTTAAAAATATACTTGCTATGAGAATTGTATCAACAGCCTAAGGGAAAATTAAATTGAATAAAAGAAAAGTGAGATATATTTGGGAAGTATTTTGATTTGATTTCTCTTTGAAATAAATAAATAGACTCATTGTTCATGTAAGCGGCCAATTGGAATAATGTAAATAAATAAATATATTAAAATAGTGGATGCCCCCAGACCTCCTTATATACCAGGAGAAAGTCAGGATCTGTAGGAGATATGTTTAGGGTCACCATTACTGCAGGTTTGTTCAACATTATTCCACACCCGCCAGTAATAAAGATTTCCAGAAAATCATTGATGGGGTGCCAAGATCTCACTATTATTCACGGAGGGCAAATGCAATGTTGGATAATGTATACATTGAGTAGGTGAGCCTGCAGTTGTCTTTACTGAATAAATGGACCATTAAGTCTGCAACCCAGATAAGCCTTCAGTGAAAAAAAACAACAACAAAAAAAAACAGCAAGCTCATTTTACTTACGTATAGTGCAAAATTCCCCTGTCCACTTATCTGGACAAATGCAGTTGTTGTTATTGCAAACACCTTCATTTTCACATTCTACGTTGCAAGGAGCAGATGTTGGAGGGGCAATTGTTGGATAATCTGTGGAAATTTAAAATAATTCACGTTCTTTATTCATTCGGTTTAGAGAAACATATGGAATTATGTATAATTAGATACAAGGTACTACAGGACGTATTCGCTATATTACAGGCACTCTTCACTTACCGAACGGGTTCCGTTCTTACAACTCGGTTATAAAACAAATTGGTCAGTAAGTGAGGATGAGCTATGAGCATGCACAAGAGAACAGGTCTACGGAATACATGGACCAGTTCACTAAGGCAGGGAATCCCGCACATCTATGTTTGGGGAAACGTTCTCGAATATAGATTAGCTCACTAGCACAGGGAATCTCTGAAATCTATGTTCGGGGAACAATTCCACAAACATAATCTAGCTCTCTAACATGGGGAATTCATTGAATACCCACACTAGAGAGCCGGTTGTAAGTGCGACCAGTCATCAAACAGGAAGGTCATAAAGTGAGGACGACTTGTATATAAGTTTCAGTTGGTTACTGTGCATAAAATAAATGTTATAGAAGACAGAAGGACAAACAGTTCACAAAAAGAAGGCAGCAGGTCCACATACAAGGAATGAGATTAGGAATAGTTTGTCAAAAATCAATTAGGATCAGGGCCCTAAAGGAGGCAAAGCAATCTCATTGCTCGTGAGAAGCAAGATTTGGGTATATATTGTAAACTGTTATACATATACATTTATATTTTTAAACAGGTATACAATTATTCTATTTTTAATTTAACTACTGCTGTTAAAGAAATAATTTTACAACTGGGAAGTAACTAATATATGGGTTTTAAAAATTAACATTAATCGTGACAGATAAATAATTCTAATTGTGAAATTCGCTCATTTAGGATTAGGGTTAAATAACTGCTTGTGTGAGTGTCCAACAGTGCCTATATATTTATTCATATATTTATATTTATTGAGATGTGTGTAGTTTAATACACAGCCCATAGTTAGAATGAATCCTGCTAATTACGTCATTATTTAGCAACTGCTTTCTCCATTAGTGTGCTAGCTGTTAGTATGAAGCTGCTAATAGGGTTTCATCATTTATTCTAATTTGCATAATAAAGATGATGGCAAAATATTGACGGTGTGGAACTCTAATATGCATTTAAAAACTTCACTGGAGATCATTTGATAATGAATTAATGCAGTCATTAAACGTAAGGAGCTATTTCTGAATAGTATGCTTCGAATTACACTAAATTACATACAGTCAGGCTAAAATGTAGAACGATTGCTCTGAAAGGTTTGTTTGACTGTTCACACACAAGCATTATTAACCCCTTAAAGGGACATTGTAGGCACCCAGACCACTTCAGCTCATTGAAGTGATCTGGGTACCAGTGGCTTCACTAGGGTCAGTGTCACCCGGTGCGGTAACTCACAGTGTCACCCCAACCCCCTTAATAATGTGTATCTTGTTTTTTTACTAATATAACTCATAAATCATAACTCCCATATAACATTAAATGTAATGGCAATAGTGACATTAACAACTAGGAAAATAAAAATTGACCTTCAAATTACAATATATGAAAATAATAGAATTTGAGCTCTGGGCACAGCAGCATGATGCATCCGTTTCACAGGTGACACTATAGCAGGACTGAGCGGATTCTTCCGTGGCTCCCTGAGAAGGCGGAGCACATCGACGTTGCGCCCCCCACGCTCCTCCTCATCCACGCACCAGACCTCTGCATCACCCATGTGGATTCCCAGCCGCAGCTCTCCCCTCACCATTCACAAGTCAAGTGCACAGCAGCACTGTGACCAGACACATAACTCGGGCCGGTCTGTGAGTGATCGACTGCGAACTGTATCGGCCGCCTGGCGTCCCTGTTGCCATGACCCATTGTGCGGCCGCACAGCTCTCACACTCCAAAGGCCTACCCTGGTGTCACCCCTCCGTGATGCACATCCTGATGCAGTCTGCATATCCTTGTGACGCCACTGCTGGGTACAGTGTCTCTATTGCCCTTAGTGTTGCAATATTAAACATTGCAGTTCCAGATAAACTGAAATGTTTAGATTGTAACACTAAGTCAGCCTTTAGTGGCTGTCTATCAGACAGCCACTAGAGAGCTTCCTGGTTTGAAACAGACCTTTGGTCCAGTATCTGACACTGGACATCCTCACGCTCTGCATGAGGACCTCCAGCGTCAGATTTTTTCCCATAGGAAAGCAATTGATTCAATGCTATCCTATGGAGAGATCTAATGCATGCGTGGCATTTGCCGCACTTCCGCATTAAAGACCGCATGTCGCGGGATTGAGGAGGAGGGGGAGCTTTGACCCAGCGCCGTTGGACATCAGAGCTAAGATCAGTTAATTAAATAAAGGGGTTTTATGTCTTTATTCACTGTGAAGGGAGGCACATGAGGGAGGGGGCAGGGCAGGGGGAGCGATAGTGTCAGGAATACAGCTTTGCATTCCTGGCACTAGAGTATCCCTTTAAGGACGAAGGCAATATTACATGTTCTGATCAAAATTAATGTGATCCTAATCTTGGCTTGTCAGGCAAGTCCCCAAAGCACGATTGCCAGCGCGGGACTGCAGACAAACAGGTGAGTATCGAGGATGGCGAGGATGTACTTTGTCGCCAGGCGGCATTAAGGACCATTTCCTTAAGGACGGCATAGTACCCCCGCTGTCCATAAGGGGTTAATGAACTCTTGCATTGTTACCTAAATATAGATTTACAATAAATATTATTAAAAATGTAGGTCTTGTCTTGTCATTGTTGTTGCTAATTTTTTTATGTCTAAATATTTATTGAAAATTTATTTTATGTTGTCACTACTTTTTACCAGCCGCCATTCAGCCATTACTTGCGAAATTGCCTGCCGCTAGAAACGGTAGAAAGTAGTGACTATTTACCATATGCAAAATGTCACCAGTAGCAACAGGTTGCTAACAGCCATTTAAAGCCAGTTACTAAGCAGCAGGTAATAACTGAACATTAACCTGGTGCAAAATAGTTAACAAGAGAAGAGGCAGGAAAGATGCACTCTGGACATTAAATGGAAAACATATGAATAATTCACAAATAGGAGCAAAACCTAAAAAATTACATATATATCTTTCTAATTTAGTGCAAAATCCCAGTCTACGTTGTATACACTGTTGCTATCAATCACAGGGTGCAACACTCATGCTCAGGGTAAGTATTTTTACTTGCATAAAGTGGCTGCTTTACTACTGGGTGGTCAGTCTGCGGGAGGTCAATGTCTTTGTGAGCAGATAGAATTGTCGGTCAGCCAGTGAAAAACACATGGTAGATTGAGTGACAAGAGGCAAGGTTGATAATCAGTAACTGATAAGTAGCTCTTATAACCTTAACTACCATCTGCTTTTAATAGCAACAACTTAACCCAGCTATTTACCAGCAAGGTTTGAAATCAGCCCTGATACAAAAAAAGACTAGAAGAATAAAAATATTAAAACGGGTAAAGAATGCTGAAAGTTTGTTGGTCTCATGAACCTTTTTTTTTTTTTTTACAATACCTATTTAGAGAGATTAGGAGATCTAGGGATTAGTCTGATTGCATCATGACTAATGTAGGGATTTACACCAACACACAATGATATACTGGTACTAGTAAATTTAATTAGTATAAACATCTATTAGATCATCTTGATGAGGGAAGGCAACTTGAGGCACTCCAGATGTTGTGGACAACATATCCCCTGATGTTTTGCCAGCACTATAGCTGGAAGAGCATTATGGGGGATATATTCCATAACATCTGGAGTGCCAAAGGTTGCCAGATCAATACACAGAGAAATGTCACTGAAAGATTAAATCTATATTGACGTTTATGTTACAATGTAAAGTCCAAGTCTGTAGCAACATTAATTATAATCTCTCCATTTTGGCTTCAGAACATTGCAGAGCAATGCGCAGTGGTGTAGCGTGTGTTGTCAGTGCCCACGGGTAAGGCAGGTATTACATCCCCGTGGACTGTTAGCACTCCCCGAGTCCCTTAGTGGGTGCCAAGTTAACCTCGCTCCTCCTTCCATTCCCGCTTTGTCTCCATGATGTGGATAACACTGATAGTTGTGTTGCAGAATTTCTAAAATCCACCTCATGCCTAAAGTAATGTGTATAGTCTATCTAGCAGCGTAACGGTATGACATCATTTAATAGGCAACATTTATTATGTCTATTAATAGCGTACTTACTGGCGGTATCTTCAAATGGGAAATCACTATTAATAGGCATATGTAACGCACCAATATTAATAGCATGAAGACAGTATGGCTATAATTAGCAAAAAAATACAGTAAAATGTTATCTGGCAACCTTTATTTACCCCTTGTAGAATGTTTAAAGGCTACGCCACTGGTTATGCTCATTCGTTTTCCTGAAAATAAGACTTGGTCTTATATTATTTTTTGCTCCAAAAAAATGAACATTGGCTTATTTTCATTGGATGTCTTATTTTTAACTTCCCCGAACATAGATTAGTTTACTAGCGCATGGAATCCCGCAAATCTATGTTCGTGGGAACTTCCCTGAACATAGATTAGCTTAAAGGTGCCTGGAATCCCTCAAACCTATGTTTCGAGGAAACTTCCCCAAACATAGATTAGCTTAAAGGCAATGGGAATCCCTCGAACCTATGTGCAGGGAAATTTCCCCGAACACAGATTAGTTTACTAGCGCATGGAAAATTTCCCGAACATAGATTATCAAACTAGCGACAATCTCAAATAGGGCTTATTTTTGGCGTAGGGCTTGTTTTTGGGGGATGTCTTATTTTCCTGGGAAAATGGTATTGTGCAATCCTTTTTAACAAATTCCTGTATAATCAAGCAGCAAAAGTAGCAAAAGGGAATAGAATATTTACGGTCAAATAGGCCAAATAGGAAAGGTTTTTTTTCTTTTCACCTATTTTTCCTGCTCAGTTGTTTTGGTCTGCCACCTGAAAATGATATGTACATTAAACAGATGAGCATGAAGGAAAATATGTTCTTACATAATCTTTGTAAATAATGTCAACAATTTAATATAATTGCAGTAATCCCTTGATAACATATATATATTCACACTACATATCCAATTACCGTCCGATTTCCCTCATCAATCTCGATATTAAAATATTTTCAAAAATCCTAACAGACAGATTGTCGCAGATAATTTCAGACCTAATTCATTTAGATCAATCTGGCTTTATAAAAGGAAGATCAGCTAGTGATAATATTCGTAAAATCTTGAATATGATGATCGATGTCAGTAAAAAAATCTATATCTACAGTTTTTATAGCAGTCGATGCTGAAAAGGCATTCGACAGAGTAAATTGGAAATTTTTATCAGCTACACTTTCAGTGTTTAGGGATCTTTTAAGGATCTTACTATGTCCTTATATTCTGTTCCTATAGCAAAAATGTATGCTAATGGTTTAGATTCTGATTGGTTTCCTATTAAAAATGGAGCCCGACAAGGATGCCCATTGGCACCCCTCCTATATATTCTCTCTATTGAACCATTGGCAGTATATATAAGGCAGAACCATAACATAACTGGGGTGAACTTAGGAAGTCAGGAACAAAAAAATAACAATGTTCGCTGATGATATAATTCTGACCATAACAAACCCAGAATCTTCCATACCATGTACACTTTGCTGTATAGAACAATATAGTAGATTTTCTAACTATAAGATTAATATGCAAAAAACTCAAGCTTTGCATGATAGCCTACCAAGCGAATTAATAAATAACCTGAACAATAACTATAATTTTAAATGGTCCAATTCCTTACGCTATTTGGGAATAAATATAAATTTTAATATTGAAGAATATATCACTGAGAACTATATTACACCATACTCCTAAGAGAATTTAGAAATTCAATCCTTAAATGGTCTAAATTACAAATCTCTTGGCTTGGAAGGATAAACATTACTAGAGCATATCTACTTCCAAAACTTGAATATCTTCTTCGTACCATTCCACTTAGAGTCCCTAGAAAAATACTTAAACTGTTCCACGTTTTATTTGTGTCTTATGTTTAGGGCAACAAAAAACCTCTTAAGGTTATGTCATCTAGATTAGCAGTAGATATCTTACAAAATGGTCATTGTACAAAATGAACTGCCTAACCCATAGTCATAAAAACATCTTAAAAATGACAAAACTGCAAAACCAGACAGATGTTAATTCTTCGTTTTTCAAATAACAATTTTTATGTAAACATTGACACCTGTAGACCACAAGAGCTTCAACAATTTCAAATAGTCCATCGAGAGAAAGAGTCAATAGAACTTTATTGTGGATTTCTTCATACAAAAGATGTGTTTAGAGCAAAACAAGTATTGTTATCATTTATTAACAATGTCCAAAGATCAGTTTCTATTATTTATGGTTACTTTCTAGGCACGACTTATGCAATCAGTGCTATACTAAAGGAACATTCCACATTCAAGTTTTTATATATAACATATTGTAGCTGATGTTATGAAATACAACATAAAATTAAAACAAAAATTATCTTCTTTGACATTCATGTAAGTCTCCAGTTCTCGCAAGTTGGATTTGGACCATTGGTTAATAGTATTTACCAAGTCATTCTGTAGATACTCACTAAAATTGGTTTTGACTGGGCCTTTCTGAGACAGCGAGATTCTTGGGTTTTAATCTTCCAGTGTACCTTTGGCTGTTTTTAAAATCAATATCATACTGGAAGGTGAACTTCTACCCCTTTATCCAGTGCCTTGCTTATTGAAACAACTTCTCC